CGTTCATTTGTTAAAGAAGTCAGTATTAGCAAGGCTTCCCCCCACTGGCTCTGAGTGGTAATTATTGCTGAGTCTTCACAGTGCTCGTTTGCTGAGAAACATATTGCCCTTTTCTCTTGGCCTTTCTAGGACCTAGGTCTTTACCCTTGCTGCTGGGATGAAACTTAGAAGCAGGGTCCTACCTGTGTCCACCTGGAAGGTTCCATTTTCATTGTAGAAGCTGGTGGTTTAATATTTGACCCTCATTCAGCATTTTCCCCTTCTGCCTTTTCCCTTGCCTTTGTTTCCTCTTCAGTGTTATTTAAAAATGCATCTTCTGAATGCAAGGTGTTGTTTTCGAGTTATTTACTTATGTTAGGAATAGGGGTCAAGTATGCATTGTCTCCTGCCGCAGAGATGCTGTGTAATAAACCCAGGAGCTCAGTTGCAAGCAGTAGTTGCTGTCTGGAGCACACTGGGAGCAGTTTACTGATCTTAACTGGTCTCACCTGGGTCTCAGTTGAGGAAAATGGGGTAAGCTGTCTTGCACCACCTACCTGTGTCTCATGTCCCATCCTTCATCAGGCCAGCCCAGGCATGCCCCTGTCATGGTGATGGCCAAGGTCCAAGAGAGAGAAAGTGGAAGCATGCTGAGTTGCTTCAGGCCAGACTCCAAACAGACATCTCCAGCTCACTTTATTGGCCATATGTCCAATTACAAACGATGGGAAAATAGACTTCCTCTCTTTGGGGGAGAGAAACTACAAAATTACTGGGTGATGGGTTATTATTGCAACCTGTCCAACAGAGCCCTGGGACCTGCCTCCTGTTTGTATTTAGGCTAATGCTTTGCAAGTAGAAAGTGCTGATACATGCAGGGTGTGTAGAAGCAAATTATGTTGCCACTAACTTAGATTTTAAAGTCAAGATTGGGTTGACTGCCAGTCTTGGTTTATGTGACACAGGGAAAGTTTCCATCATGCAGGCAGACACTAGAATTGTACTGTTTTGGTCCAGGGGCATCTTAATTGACATTAAGAAACCCTTCTCTTTATCATCTTTTCCACTATTGGTTCCATTATCAGCTCTTTAGGATGTTAGATAATCAGTGGCCAAGAGAAGAGGCACAAGTAGAGGAGAGACTGCCACTACACCCAGCAGGTTCTCTCGGGAATTGTCACCGTATGGCATGGATATGAATAGTCTTTAGAGGACAAAGCAACCTCTGGCCAGTGTCTTTAATATCTTTGTTCTGGGCCATCACTGTTTGCAGTAGGGCGGGAAAAGAGGCCACAGGCCAGTAGGAGTACCTGCAGGATCTGAGACTGGTACAGAAATCCTGCGGTGCCCCAAAAGGTCAGTGGGCCACTGCCTCTGGGCAAATCTGATATGTGTAATGGTCCCAGAGACTTTCAATGCTGCTCCCCTCCCACTGGTATGCAGTCCTTGATGAGGGAAATTTACTAGAACCTTCCATAGCCAGAAACACAACACTCTAGATGTGCCAGGCTCAAGTCAGAGAGTGGCCCCTTCCCAACTATTTGATCTAAAAGTCCCATGACCTTGCTTTTCCATTCCCAAAGATAGGCCACTCGGGAAGATGGGGCTCCGTGCGAACCTGCCTTGGGTCAGTACTATAGACTTCTCATGGTTGGAATAAACTTCTCTTTAGAACAGACCAGACTAGTGCCAGGGCATGGAACAAACTACCTAAGGTTACAACACCTGCTCTTCTCCCCTCTCTCCCTCAGGTAGGCCTGCAGGTTGCCACCTCTGGTACAAGGAAATCTGTGCGGTAACATGCAAAGCATTGCCCACGTAGAGCATTGATTATAAGGTCCAGGGCCATGTCCCTCAAGGGGCATTTTACAAGGTCAATGATGTTTTCTTCCTGAGGCCAGAAAAACAGCAACTTGTAGCTTCCTAACCCTGCACACAACCCTTCTTGGAGGCCCGTGATGGCGCAGCCAATTCCTTCATGCGAGTTTCAGGTATGTGCCTCTGTGCAGGTGCTCCTGTGAGACAGGCTGAGATTGCTAACAGTTAGCTGGCTCTGGCACTGACACCAGTCACCTCGTCTGTACCCCTCATTTCTTGTTGACGGAGACTTGCACAAGCTGCTTCTGTTTGATTCTCCAAGAACCGTGAGAAACAGGCCCGTATGTGAGGCCGAGGTTTTCATTCTATTCAGTCTTTGTGTATTCAAATGCTCCTGGTTTCGGCTCTTGCTGTTCTGCCAGATTTCCATCGCATTGATGGCTTCTCTGAATTAATAAGTGTTTTGCAACCACTGAAAAGCCCCCCCAGCCCCCCAGCACTGAGACTTATCCATATTGATCCCCCTCCCAACCCCTCTTTCCCTTTCTCTCCAGCAACTTCTTAGATGTTGTATTTTGCAAAGTGTTAATAGAATTTTTCTTGCACCCTGACACTCTGTCTATTCAGGAGGTCTTTGAGAGTCCCACTGTACAGCTGGACCGCCAGGGAAAGAGCCCTATTCTCTACAACAATGCTTGCCCCCCCAAACACACACACAGATCTCCCATGCGCACCAGGGTGGAGGAATGTGGAGGCTACAGAAGAAAGCAGGCAAACTTAGCCAGGAAAAGCGGGGAGCCAATTACGCGCCGCTGAAAGACGGTTTTGGGAAAAAAAAATTTTTTTTTTTTATTCAAAATATTTATTTCCTACGGGGATCTGAATTTCAGTACCAAAACATGGCCAGCACAGAAGGGAGGCTGTTTTCTTTGCTGTTAGGCATTTTCAGTTCAAAAGCAGAATTTGGCAAACGTCTTGGAAATTGCGGAGATGGGTGCAAAGAAGCAGATGTCGCGTTTACCTGCACCCTCGGTAGGCCTTACCCCCAACCTACACCCGCGCTCCAGGCATCCCAATTCTTCTGGCATCCCAGGGTCTCAGTCTGAGATGCCATATGCCAGGGTGTGACTGCGCCGTGGACAAACACACCGGTTGATCTTACGGTGGTTTGCTTGGGCGGCACAGGGCGGCGTGTGCGAGGCAGCGTATGGCCTCAGCAGGTGCCTGGGGGACACTTGAAGCCCGCCAAGGCCTGGGGAGCAGAGCGACCCAAGGAAGGAGGCCCTGTTCGAGTGATCTCAAACTAGCGTTACCTCTCCTGCCAGCTGGGGCCTGGGAGAAAGGGGGGCAGGCTCCCTGTAAGGCTGCCCTCCCCATGACAAATGAATGCAGGAGTAGGGGCACCAGAAGGGGAAGGCCCCAGGAGCCTGTTTGTTCAGCCTGGGTTGCTTAGCAACCGGGAGGGGGGGTCCCCTGCCTCCAGAAGGGAGTTTGAAGTGAGGCAGATCTCTTCCAGACTGGTTTGTCTACCTCCTCCATTCTTGCCTGGACTTTGCTCTCTCCACTGTGGTACACGGTGTGCGAGATAGCATCTAGAAGAATAGATTCCATTTGTCCAGAGGCACCGTTTCAAAGCTCACTCCACTGTTTCACCCAGGAGGAGTGAGAAATGAATAGCCTGTGATTTCTCCTCAGGTGCCTTAGCTGAGCACCTTCCTTGCCCTTCCCGCCTCTCACCCCCGCCCCCCCCCCCCCCAAAAAAAAAGGCTTCCTGCTTTCCCTTGAGCGGAAGTGAGTGCTAAGATCTTCGCAGCTACATGCAAACACCAGACTGTAAGCGCTGGGTCCTCTGGCAAACAGTTTGTGCAGCCACAAGGGTTGGGTTGTATTTCTGCTGCTAGCGTTGAGTGCAAAGGGCATGGAGAGGGCAGCTGATTCACCCTGGCAAAACAAGTTTTCTCTGGGGTAAAGGTATGTCTCATGGCCTAAACGATTAGATCTGCAAATGTGAAGGGTGGGTACTTCTTGAATGCCTTGAAAGAGCCCCAGATGCCACCAATGAGCTAGGGCTGCCATAACAAAGCACCTCAGGCTGGAGAATTTCAACAACGAAAATAGATTTTTCTCATGACTCTTTATCCCGGAAGCCAGCAGTCCAAGATTGACCCATGGCGGGGGTTGGTTCCCTCTGAGGCCTTGTTGGCCTATAGCTCCTCAGCCCTGTGTGTGTGTGTGTGTGTGTGTGTGTGTGTGTGTGTGTGTGTGTGT